TTTTTAGAAGGTCGGGACAGAAAAACTTCATTATAAATTCATAACTTCTTCGTCTGACGTCCGTTCTCGCCTAACTTTTCATTGCTTCGCTACTAACAACAAGATCTTCGATTCTCATTTAGATTGTTTCAGCTAAAAACCGCTCGATCTCAAATCGAGTATTCGGGCTGCATACTGCCACGTCGAAACTTCAGAAAATCATAACTTCCTCATACGAAGTCAGATTTGGGCGTTCCTTTTATGCACGCTCTCGGTTTAACGAAATCTACGACTTTCGTTTAGATCTCTAAGGCTAAATATCGCTCTATCTTAAATTCATATTTTACGTCACTCGGCGTCGTACCTGTTCTGTCTCGAAACTTCGACAGGTCATAACTTCTTCGTTATAACTCGGATTTTGGCATTCCTTATATCTCCGAAATCCTTGTTTCGACCACTACAACTTTATGCAAAGATATCGGGCGTATCTCACACTTTAATTTTGACGCTTATTTCATTCTTAATTCATTAAATTATAAAAATCAAGAAAATAAACACATAATTCACATAATTCACAAATAATACATTCTTATTATTTCAAGTTGAGTTACAAAGGTTAACCTAGACTATTACATTGCTAAAAATGGCAAGCCCAGAAACACGGACGTTACAAAGCTCATAACCAATACTCCTTGCTTTTGAGGCTAAATCGGATAATTTGTCACAAAATCGTCCACCGTTTCACCCTCCTTAGTGCGTAAACTTTCAAGCTCTCTCTTTAATGTTGTAAGTCGAGCCGTTCTCACCCAATCCACTCCCAAATACCGTGTTTTTAGACCTTCCCACACTTGCTTTGGATCGGTGTAATTCTCCATTAATTTGAAATACCATGTCTTCGGGTATTGCTTGAAACAAAAATCAAGAGCTTCTTTGACTTCTTTTCATCTGATGCTTTATCTAACGCCTTCGGTTTGACCATCTCCCATCTAATGTGTGCATCCATAATCAATTTGACTTTGACCTTCCTGACCGGATGATTCATTGGTGTCAAAACTAGAACTTGATACGTCATCAGACCTCCTTTAACTATCGACATCTTGTTCTCTCTTTTGACAACCCCAACTTCTTTAATCAAGATTGTTCTGAGAACACTTTTCCACCGAACAAAAAGACAATGTCACGACCACCTTTATCATCTTCCATCACCCGCAAAAATGAATTAAATCAAAGCCACCCACTTTGATGTCTTTTTGCTCGTCTTTTTTGTACCACCGGTTAGTCTGTCATTGTTATAGAACAAGCCCGATCAAGAGAAATTGGGGGTGATTGTGATCAAAACTAAATCACAACCCCTTCAACGGAACCGCTCTGATACAAAGTGTAAGTTTACTTTGGAACCTACTTTAATTTAATTATAAGAATAAGAAACATGTGGAAGAAAAAACGAACATGAGATTTAAATAACTTGTGTGCTACGTTAAGTTTTATTAATTGGTAAAACTTATTATGGGATTAATTACAATGACACCAATGTCCCATATTTATACCAAAAAAATGTATCTGACTGAAGAAACCCCCAGCATGTAACATCTAGACCCACTAAGAAACCCCCAGCATGTTGTGAAGAACTAAAGGTCAAAAAGTTTTTTGTGACATTTAGAAGTTCTTCTTTGTGACACTTGAATATAAGAGCAAGTAACTGCAAAAAGAAACACACGTTTGGTGTATGTCAAATTTCACATGTATGGCGTATATCTCAGGCATGCACAATTTTTCTTTCTTTCATTTTTTACACACATTTTTTTAAAATGATTTTGGTTCTTTTGTTTTTTTTTTTAATTTTGCTTTTAGGATATATGCTTTTATAGCCGATTTTAAACCAAGAAACCAAAAAGAATCATATCCTTATTCGAAGTTTAAAGTTTTATCTTTTTAGGACTCTTATTGTTTTTCTAATATTTATAAAAAATAATTTTTTTGTCCAAACATATTTCGAAAATAACATTTATGATAAAAAAAAAAATGATATGCTACAGTGTTTTAAGGCCATGACCTAACACCTTTGTTGTATGAGAACACTTTTGATATGATTTAGCAAAATATCAAAAAGAAAAATTTTATAGTTTTTAGAAAAATGATCAAATTTCTCACTACTATTCAACACTTGATTTTTTTTTTCTTCAAAATTTCGGCTTAAGTAAATCACAAACCGAATTTTCAAACTGCTTCTATTTGTCAATTCATTTCTCTATCTCGACAATAAATTAATTTTTTGTCTAGATTATACAAATTTGAACATTTTTTTTTGGAATTTGGTTAGAAGTTCTACCACAAATTTTCCAACATTTTTTTTCACTAATAATCAATTCCAAATCTTTTTTAACAACTGTCAAATTGACAGTTAAACTTTTCGTTAACAAAATATTTCAAGCTCGAGGAACACATTCTCTCGAAGAAATATTTGAAGTTTTTTTTGTGTGTGTGTCCGCTTCAACATAAAATCTCATTGAAGCAGAGGGGGGAAATGTTAAATCAATATTTTTCCTTTTGTACATTTTTAAGACTCTTTATTTCAGTACCCATCACATAGGGGAAATTATTGGAAATATTTTTATGTGATTGTCACTTGAAATAAGTTGAGTACTGATTTATATTTTCTAATAAACATTATCAGAATGTTTAAGGTTGGAAAGATCCTAAAGATTCACCAAGTGTTTGAAGAATGATGTTGCAGCTCTTGTAGTTGACATGGAGTACTTGTTGAGCATGGTGCACTTGTTGAAAGTAATTTGGACCATCATGATCCCAGATGGCACATCTAGATCATATGTGGAGCAACATGAATATTGGAGAGTCATCTCAAGTTAATGGATCATCATGAATATGTTGATGGCTCATCAAGATAGCACATGGCACATCATGAACAACGATGGAAAATCCAAGTCCTCAATGACACATCCAGTTCATCTACGACACATCATGTTTTGTGTTTGCACATATTTAGGTCCAGGACACATCCCAAAATTCAAAAATCCACTTACCTTAATCAATGGAACTTCTAAAAGTCGATGACATCTTAAGACACAATAGAGTAACATGATGTTCATGATGCTCAGCATATCCTCAATGTTGATCAAGAATGCTTAAGAGAAATGAAGACTCAAGACTTAGATGGAACCCTAACGGAATACTAACAAATTTGGAATATTCCATCCATTCTCTATCAAGTAGGCCAAGGTGTCAACTGATGACTCAGTTATGATGATGTGTCAAACACCTTATTGGTCAAGCCATGTCATGGGATTTTCTAAAGCCTATAAATAGGTCCCTTAGGCTCCATTATAAAAAATTTCAATTCTTGCTTCTTTCTGCTCAATTACTCCTTAGACTATATAATTTATAGAAAGCTTTTTGAGTGTTTCTTACTTTGTGTCTTCATTACTTCAAATACTTGTAATCAAATCTTTATGAATATGAATATATGACACTTTTGAATCATCGACTTTGAACATACGAAAATGTTTTATCATAAATTTGGTTGATTCCCAACTATTTATTTTCCGCATTACTTGCCATTTGATGATTTTGAAATTCTATTTAAGTTCTTCAACACTTAGGTGGTGTTAGTTTTTTGTCCGCAGATCTTCTTGGCCTCTTCTGTCTGCACCGCGTAGATCATGCGCAAAGATTAGCCTACGCAGACTGTATGTTTTTTTTTTGAAGACTACAAACCTAAAAAAATTTGCGCGCCCTCTTCTTGGTGCAAATGTGGATCGGAGTATTCAAACATCTTCAGATATCTTTTAGCCTAAAAAAACTCATATATCTTTATTTTTTTTAGTTTTTATAATTTATATTTATTCCAATTTTATTAGTGATAAACAATTTGAAGAAAAAAAATGTTACAATACTTAAAAAATGTTTGACTACACAAGCATGATATTTTTGACTAATTTATAAATATTTTTTTTATAATAATTGTTGTTGATCTTGTTTATATAAATATGAAAAAAATAATCATAATATATTCTTATATTATTCGTGCCAAATTTTATAAAACATTATTTAATACAGTATCGTCAATTTTTGGAAATATATTTATGATACGTTTTTAATTGATTTAATTGAAAAATCGAAGTTTATTTTCATCCATTTATGTAATAATTCTTTGATTATTAATTACAATGTTTATGTATAACATTGCGATCAAAATTGTTGGTTTTTATCAAATATATACGTTAATTTGTATCATTTTTACTTTTACTTTTTATACAATAATACATAAAAATGTTGATGTAGATTTGTTAATTATTTATAATAAAGTCATAAAAATATGAAAAAATCACTTTCTAGTTTAAATAAATCAGTTTATTTAGATTTTAATTTATTTTAATAGCCTGCAAATGTTAAAAAATCAAACAATCTTCTTTTTTCAGACTGCAGACATTTGATTTATCTCTTCTGCTGCAGAAATATATAGAAATGATCCGCAGACTGCAGATATTTTACCTCAGAAAAAAAACTAACAGCACCTTAACACTTCAAGTCTAAAGTCACTGAGTTTTTCTCATTTCTTCACACCACAGATAGATATGATCCTCACAAGTCACATTTTCATTAGTAGCAATGTGTTTTGATTAAGTTATAATAAAATCGTTTTTGAATTGCATTGTTCCTATTATTTATGAGAGGGATCTGACTTACACAAAATTATATGGTCTCATACAAAATATATTTTATTAATTTAATTCTAAGGAGACCATATTTTAAAATGCATGTGCGATGCATTCATTTTAATTTTATTTCGATGTATGCACCTTCCTTATATGAGCTTGGTCGGTGTTGGTGATTATTGCTACGTTAACGGTAGAGTTATTTGATACGTGTTTTTCTTTATAAAATTATGAATGTTTAGCAAACTACAAGAAACCGCACGTGCAAAATTGTACTGCACCGCGAAAACCTCTAGTCTCATCTAGTTTTTTTTTTTTTTTTTTTTTTTTTTTTTTTTTTTTAAAAATGTTGTTTACCTAAATATATGTTAATAATACTCAATCGCATGGTAATTTGTTATTCTTATTATTAAAACTTGCTAAAGATGCATTCTAGGTAGCAAGTTTGAACCTTTAGTATAAATGGACAAAGTTTCAGATTATACATAAAAGCATATATAGCGATTTCATTGCTAGCTTCAATTCTCATTATATATTTATATATGGAAAGCTAGACACGTACTATCATCTTTTTCTTCCACCTACATAAGAAAACCAAGATCACGGTCAATACACAGACTAATATACAGTTAAACAACAATAAGTTATGAGAAAAAAGATGAATTAGGTATGTTTAACATACTTTTTACAGTTGGTATCAGCTTTGACCGGAGGAAGTTTCATTGCAAGCATGCATTCATTGGGAAGAACTGAGAGGCCGACACCAGTAAACGGTGTGCCTTGTCTGTCGATCACGGTTTCTTGTATGCAGTCACATAGATTTTTTGCATCAGCATTAGTGTTTATACCTTTTCCTATCCTCGCAAGTTGTACACAACACGACATTGGGGGAGGTGTGCATTGATCGTTACATGGAGCTTTTCTACAATTAGGGTGACAAGTTATAACGTGTAGATAACAAGTTATCATGCGAAGATTAATCCTCATGCACGGAAGACTAAGCTGTCCTTCAACCTGTGTATTCGGCCGCCCAAGCACCAATAGGATCACCAAAGCCCATGCAATTCTGATTTTTGCCTCTTTCATGTTTTTTGTTCCTCGGTCATATATAAACGTACGAGTTTCAAAACTATATATAGAGGTATCCTATGAATGACTTGTGTTTTTTCAAGCCAAGGATAGTATCGTCATTTTCATCTAGAAACATATGTGTTAATTAGTACAAGTAACTAAATATTTTTCTTGGTTAGGGGGGTCTTGCATGCATTTGTCCAAGGGTAGTTTAGCATTTTCACAGACTGACGGAATAGTACAAGTAACTAAACCTTTATCGGTTATTAGTTTCATGACGAAATCCAAACTTAAGGTTGCATGCATGTATGATTCGATCGTGCGATTATTTAAAATTTCATGAATTGAAATACTTGTGGCGTGTGGAATAATGATCGGTAAGAATCAGAGAAGTGTGTCCATAAAATATTGATCCCAAGATTACGTGCACTGCTAGACGTTCATAATTAATTTGTATATTCTTCATGGATCCCCAATATGTCTGTTATATTTTTGTAAAATTAGGTTTGTTTCAAAAAGGTTGGTAGAAATAGGCTTACTTTTAAAAAAAATGTTGTAGAAATAGACTTGTTTGAGCATGGCCCGTTATTTTCATTTAAATCCCTACATGTTACAAATATCACCCTTCTACTTTCATCTCTTTTTTTCTTATATCTTTCATTATTGATTAATTCAATTCTTTACATTTATATTATACATAGATAATTTATTACAAAATATATGATTATAATTCATGTATTATTCTTAAATAGTTATACCATTGAATAGATGATACAAATACCTTCAAATAAATACCAATATTGAATATAATACGTTAGAAAATTAAAAAAAAAATCAATTAAAAACGATATTACAGTACACATTATACAATAAACAACAGTATAATTTAAACACTAAATCATATTAATTGTAATGATATTTTTATTATCTTTCATTTGTAAATATGAGAAATCTTTAGTCCAAAATGCCTAAAATGTTTAGTATGAATTGTCACTATTTGTGAAAGTTAGTGATGCTGCAACATTTTATAAAGTACAGAGATGCTCCATTGAATTGCAATACATATCTACCATCATGTATGTGACATCTCTTTCGAAATCGAGAAACTCATGCACAAAGACATAAATTAGCTGAGTTTGACTACAATGAAGGTCTCTACAAAATTGTCACAAAGTTACAAATAAATGGAAAAGGTGGAAATCCGTACATTGTCCATTACTTTCAACAAACATACACGTGTGGTAAGTGGCAAATGAAAAGATTTCCATGTTCGCATGTTATTGAAGTTTGTACTTATACATGGGATAACTCTCTTTCTATTGTAAATATTGTGCATACTATTATGTCATATAAACAACAATATATGTCATCATTTTCCCACTTTCTTATAATGATTATTGGTTTAAATAACTTAAAACTTTATATGCATCAAGGTCGGAGGCATGCAAATTGATTTCATAACGAGATGAACATTCGCCATCATGACGAACCTCACAAATGTAGACTATGTATAATATCTGATCATAATAGAAGAAATTGTCCAAATTCTCATATAAAATTCAATGCGGTATAAAGTTTTTTAATTAATGATGTAAGTTAGTGTCTAACTTGTATTGTAAATATATGCTTCATTCGTCTTGTAATATATTTTTTCAATTGTTCTTGTAATTTTATATTTTTGTAATATATTCAATATTTGTATCTAATTAAAGGTGTTTGTAAAATATATTTAAGGGTATAATTTGTAAAAAATAATACATAAGATATAATCATATATTATGAAATAAATTAATATATTAAATAAGGATAGAAGTAAATTGTTCAATTGTAAAAGATATAAATAAAATAAGATAAAAAGTGAAGGCTTAAATTCATAACATGTAACCTTTAAAGATGAAAATATATGTTTTCTTTTGAAAAAAAAAACGATAGAGAAGGATAGAAATGATGAGCCTCTCCTTCAAAGCAATATATTTGAAAAATATAACTTCTTTATGCATGTACATGTTTATAGTGATTAAAGACTCTAACATGGAAATCGAGCACACATCTACATACCAATGATCAATTGAAAGTTTGCATGTCACAATATTAGCTGCCAAAAAGAAAGCAAGCACATCCGAAGACCAGCAGAACACATAGATCATTATATTATTCCACGTGTACACCTCAAATCGGGTAAACAAACGTCTAAGACACAATGTTTTTGTAGTCAAGAATTGGCACACATGATGTGCAATGTGGACAACTAATTGTTTAATTAGTGTGTGTATGTGACTCTAACCAAAGACTCGCATTCAAGAATAACAAACTTCACTTTGTTGTTAGGTAAAAGCTACTAATTGAGAGTACGTTGAATCATCGATCCTTACTTCAAAATATAAATCAATTATAGAGCATAAAGAAACGAAAAAAAAGATGTTCATCAACCATGAAATATTGGATATTTCATAGAAATGAAAATTTTAGAGTTTAATCATCTTTTTAAAAAACTACAATAGTTGTGGGAGTTCAAACTTCGAACGAATTGAATAAGTATAGCTACGAGGCCTATAGGAATGACATATGTGTTCAGTATAGATGAACCTATATAGCAACGAAATTTCTTCTTTGAAACAATTTTGACTTCTTAAGAAACGGTGACAACTTGTCGTCTCAACACTTTAGACAGGAAAGAAAGAGGATTAGGTGCGTATGCGAAAATGTATAGGGACAACTTCTCTTTCCAACAAAAAAAAATTAAAAATAATTTATTTTTTAAATCAATTTTTGAACTGATACAACGTCGTTTGGGGAAGGCACCCTAAATTGGGCGATATGGGGATATAGCCTTCGTCTCATGCACACACATTCTAGTTATATGCATACATATGTTTCTTGTGTGTTTCACATTATATATATATATATATATATATATATATATATATATATATATATATATATATATATATATATATATATATATATATATATATATATATATATATATATATATATATATATCCGGTAAGAAATTTTTTTTGGTAGGAAGGTAAGAATTTTTTTTTCGACTTATTTTTTTGATGAACAAAACAAATGAATCACCAAATAAATCAATAATAACATGATTTACCAAAAAAAAATTCCGAAAAAACATTTCGATGATTCATTTTTATGATGATTTTGTTGATATTCATTAAAATTGTCATAAAAGTAAATTTTTTTCTTGATTCACCCAAAAATGAATTATGAATGTGTTTTTTTCGGAATTTTTTCTTGTGAATCATCTTATTTTTGAATCATATAATGATCCATTTCATTTTTTTGCTAAGAAAATATGCATATAAAAAATTTCTTACATTCCTAACAAAAATTTTCTTCTTATTTGATATTGACTCTCTTTCTCTTTCTCTTTCTCTTTCTCTCTCTCTCTCTCTCTATATATATATATATATATATATATATATATATATATATATATAATATGTTATAGTATTTCTTGTGTGTTTCACTAGAATATATCTCTATTCTAATAAATAAGTACATTTTTGCCACGTGGCATTCTCCAAGCTCCTCCAAATCAAATTTTCCCGCTCAAATCTTGAAGTGATTTCCCGAAAATGCCCATCTCGTCGTTTCTACTCACCACTCAACAAAATCCGCACAATTCAATTTGCCTATTCTTTCGTCCCTAAAATCCAATTTTATTCCTGAAAATCAGGAATCAATGAACAATGTACTCCGTAAATAGGTATCCGATATGCTGACTTCTTATATTTCCATTTTCTCGATCTAAAACCTAGATTCCACCACAATTGGATGTGTCCTCTTCGTCCTCCACCCAGTGGCAACAAACCCCACCTTAAAAGATGTTGATTCCTTCTCTTCTTGCCTCCTTTATCGTTACTCATGGTATGCTTCTACCTCCGTCTACGATTTACCCCCAAATTGATGATTCTCTTTTTCTTCTGACTCAAATTTGTCATCCTCGATATCGATATTGCTTTTCTTCTTCAAATTGTTGTTTATCCAGGTCAGTTCTTTAATATGGTCTTCTTATATTTTATTGTTTGTTTAATTTTTTCTTGATTCTAAATGTGATTATTAGTTTGATCCATCACTTAATTCTTTCATCTTAACCTAGTGTAATAAATGATATTCAGAAAATATTGTAACGATCGTTGATTTTCCTGTTATCACTCATGTGAATATAATTATCATTCTGTCACCCCTAATCTCATAACTATTCTGATATCATTTCCTTATAATCAATAAATCGCATCATATAAGGCAATATATGACAATCAGTATACTGTAATCAACAATTACAGTCAGATCACATACCTTCGTTGAATTTGCAATCGATTTCTCTACAAAAAATCATAATCGAGGACACAACAAGTATATCAAGTTAGTAAATCAGGCTTTTTGATGTATATAATCAATGTTTTTTTTGTTTGACTACAACATGTGATCTGATTTCCTGATTTTGAGTCTACCCACCAGGTGTTTGATGTAATGTGCAATGTTCTTCTTGATTTGTATAGAATCATGGTGCAATCTGAATATTTGTGTGGCTGATTTTCCCCTTAGTTTCTACATATTTTACAACAAAATAAAAAATTAGAACAAAACCAAATTTAAAAGTATGCAATAAAGAGCATTATGCTTTGAGGAATTGATTGTATATTGTTTTTGTTGTGTGATACCAGTGAGGCTGTTGACATGTTCTTGGACTTCACCATCATCAATATCAGTTCCATTTACAAATACAATGTTTGCTTTGAAAGGATTTAATTTAAGTAGAGATTTGCTAAGATAAAAGGATAAGGTTTATGGAAATTTTATTTGTAAATTAAAATTGTGCTTGCTGATGACATTGTCATATATAATAACAGATATTAGGATGATGAAAACTACACCTGATAAACTAAAATGTTAGCAAAATCTTCAGATGTGGTTTTTTTTTATGTTTGACAGATTTACCCCTCAAGTCAATAGCATCATAGAGTCTTGGTCTGTAGCATGTTTTCTTGCACATTCAATGCCCAAATGTCAAAAACAACATATTTTTGTTCCCTTGGTTATGAAAGTTATCATATTGATTCTTTTTGGTTATTATAACATATATTATTTCATCTGATCTCATG